AGGGGACGTTGAGTATCACACAAGATAACTCTAGCAAATTGCTTACAAGAACTGAAGTCTGTATTAACAACTGTGATGTAAAATTAGTTGAGACAAAGGCACACACCACTAACCCTACTTACAATCTTCAGTGTTCTACGTAATAAGAGTCCTTTCTGAGAAGTCCAGGGAAGAATAAGTGGAGCGATCAAATAAATGAGAATGGGCAGAATATATGAAATAACAAATTATAAGCGAAGAAGTGAGGTTGAGTTATGCACTCAGAGTGTCTCAATTTCTTTATGTAATAAGTCGAACGAAAATGTTTCCTAGATATCAACAGGATATCAGAATCTAACAACAGAGATTCAATGAGAGAAACTGATGCTGCCGAGATGAGAGATATTAGATTTACACCCTATCAACACAATGCTGTCAGTATCACAGGAGTCATGAGACTGAATTAATCAGTCCACATAGGTCTTGTTAACATCTGAAACTGAAATCAACAGCAACGACATTTAGATGGATTTAGCTTAGGAGCATTTCGGTGAGACTACTACTTGTTAACTACAGACAGTAGTCTATTCATATTAGAACAATCAAAAGCAGACACTACTTTGGATAGAAATGGTTAGATCATTGTCATATTTAGTGAAGGATATGTAAGGAATGGTGGAGCACTTTGCATTCACAAATAAGGAGATAGCCACCTAATGACACAGGACTGAGTGTTGGCTGAAATCAGCTTGCTTATCAAAACTACCCTAGGGATAGAGTCAGAAGCAGTAGTGGAGTCTGAAAAGGAGGCTGGAACAAACTCTGCGCCTTTATCAAGAATTTAAAGACTATTGTGGTGGAGTACAACGACAGCATCTAATATGCTTCCAGTGCATTTGCAGGCAAACTGCTTTGGGTCATTAAAAAGGCTTTCGAAAAGGTTTGAGAACATGCGAATGAAGTTTCTCCATAGTTTTCAAAAGTGGAGACATGATAACGATTGGCCTGAACTTCAGATCTGATCCAGATGATGACTCTGGCACCAGCAGGCACCACCTTTATTTCTTTTCAGCCAACAGGTACTGTATTGATATAAGTATGAAACTTGGGCACTATGGTGATAGAGCATAACTCCATTATGAGGAAGATTTCATTTTGATAAATCACACACAGTGTTACACAGTAATACTAACTGATGATGTTTCGAGCACAAACTATTCTCGCTCATAAACATGTTAAGTTGCTCACACAATTTTCTTGCTTCATTTATGCACATGAGTGAAATTGATGATTAGACATTTGAATAAAATCAACAATATAAGATAAAATATATTGAGAAATAATAATATTAGTGTTATCAATCAAATACAATCAGATGGGAAATAAGACGAGTGCTTTTTATAGTCAAAATAAGTAACTAGTAAGAATGTTGTGATGTGCTTGAAATGAAATAGAATTTTAAGACTATTTATTATCCTCCTCTGATTTGACTGACTGGTGGTAATAATATCTTCCATATCTCTGGTACTTGCATTGAATCACTTCTGTTGCATGTGTTGGGTACGGACTCAATGAATCAGGCAGGATTCAGTAATCAGTCTCTCTCTCCACGTACATAGATTACTTCTTAGAATCTTAGCCCTTTCCCGACCTAATGCATGCAGTGCAATCGCCGAGCTTTTTTCTAAATTACTCATCTGTCTTCGTGAAGTCGACCATTCTAATCTTAGCTAAATTCTTATTTTCTGACAGTCTGACCACCCCAGTCTATTAGTCTGACCTATGTAGTTTACCTAACTCACAGTCATTGCAGGGTATTTTGTAAATTATATTATTTTGTCTAATTGGGTCCACCGGGTCTTTTGGCCTACAGAGCTTGTCATTGAGTGAGTTTGTAGGTTTGAATACCACCTTAATTCCTGCTTTATTAGGAATTCTACGTAAGGTATCAGATGTCCCTTCCTTGTATAGTATAACAGTAGATGACTTGTATTCTCTCTTATTAATATTATCATTACTAGTTTCACAATTATTTTTATTTCGCTTTTGGCCTTTATCGATCTTCCTAATGAATTTTATAGGATAGTTAATTAACACCAACGTCTCTTCTCCTATCTGTTTTATTTCATCATTTATGTCTTCTCTAGTGCTATTTACTGCCGCTGCTCGGTCTGTTACACACTTAACTAAGCGTGCCTTAACAGTCAACGAATGAGATGAATTAAAGTCTAAGTAACTATTTGAATGAGTTGGTTTTCTGTACACACTAGTGTGTATTTTATCTTCTTCTATTCGTTTTATTTTACAATCTAACATAGTTAATTCTCCTTGTTCATTTTCTGATTCAAATGTGAATTTTACTCCCTCCACTAGTGAGTTTATATGTGTCAAGAAGCTGGAGATATGTTCTGTTTTTGATACTGTGAAAGTGTCGTCCACACATTGCCAGCAAATCTTTTGAGTAGGATTAAATGTATTAAGAGCAGGTGCTATATCCCTGTGAAATGATGCATTACCGACTTATGTAAGAGGATAGAACAAAATGTCAGCAGACTTCTGAGGCAAAATATATGTTATATGTATTCATATGTAAGTCCGTGTATGATCAAACGAATTACGTCTTCCTACTGCTTTGTCTAAATTCCTAAAGGATACTAACTGTTTTGAAACATATCTTTTAAGTTCAAGTCTCTCATTGCAGTGTGTAACGTGACAAAATGTTTCAAATGAAGGGTGATGTAATTCAATGTGGGTAGGAACAGCAACACAATGTTTTAGGGACATTCAACTAAATAAAAAACCCAAGAAACAGATCGAAATACCAATTCACGATCCCAATGCTAGCCACTAAATACTCAAAATCTTCTTTAGAAGATCAAAAATAATTGTTAGACTGTTGTAGACTACCGGCCCGCAGTATTAGTCGGTTGATAGCAGAGTTTTCTACTCAGTGACATTTTGTGATGACTCAAATAAAACTCGCAAACTGAGGTATTTGACTGTGTCTCCACACCTGGCTGGACAAACATTAAGATGAATACCGCTTATTGTCCTTTTAATTCAACAATTAAATAAAATTCTCACTAATTGAAATACGCTCTGAGTGGAATGTAGTGCCTAAAACGTTGGGCTTCTGAAGTTCGAGTAGAAGTGATTCTGTTTCACGGGGTGGAGTTTCTAGTTTCACGCTCAACTTTCCCTCTTTTCCCGGTTTACTACCGGCTAGGCGACGGTGGGGAGTGCGTCAGCTTGTAATCGAACCTGGATCTTGGGCATGACTAGTAAACAGTGTAATAGGAAAGCACTACACTACTAAGTTAAAAGTTCAATCCTGCTATGTGGTCAGTTAGAGAACCACGGGAAACCAGGCACAACTGGGTAACTGCTTCTTCTTGGTTTTGGGATCTTCAGCAGTACACACCCACGTCCCTAACAAGGATGAAACCCGAGGCCGAGCTCGCTGACCATTCAGCCATTTGGGACGGGGCTTCATGATCCGGGAATCCTAAATCCTGTCACTTCGAGATTATGGCACGACCGCCAGCCAATGTCATGAGTGAGCATCTTTCCTCACCAACAACATGATGCACCCCACTGGTAACGACTTCTCACCTGACCTCCAGGCAACTGCCTTCTGTAGCCAGTCACCACTGCACGTCAGATTAATTTTCAAGAGTTTATTTGTAGGCATTCGATCTATCTGAAACGTAGTCACATACTGATACCACTTTTTGTCCTAGTTGACCTGTCAACTCTCAGTCAGATTGTTTCAAATGAAATAACTTTCTGTCGGAAATTAGTCAGTGGTCCTCTTCAAACGGTCTTAAGCTTAATCCGTCTAAATGTCAGGTAGTCAATTTCACTTTCCGACGAAAACGTGACCTACAACAACTAGCTAGCTCACATGGCCTCACTATCATTGATGGCATAGAGGTTGAAATTACATCCAATGTCAAGTACCTTGGGGTGAGTATTTCCACCGATCTTTCCTGGTCCTCCCACATCTTCTAGTTACTAGAAAGATGTTTCGCCTAACGTTCTAAGTTAGGAAATTTAGGCAGTCTGGCATAAAGCAGTCTTTGCTTTCTCTGTTTGTAAATTCTTGTAGTCTACCCATCCCCCTTTACCGCTCCCCATTAATCTTTCCTGGACTACTTAAGAAAGACTTTGGTTTGCTGAGAAGGGCACTAAAAGCCGTTAGTAGGGCAAGTGGGATATCGTTTAACCAACTGGTTAACACTATTGTGGATAGACATATTATGTCATGTAAGAAACTAGCGAGTACAATTTTGTAAGACCCCAAGCATCCTCTATATACGCAGCTGTCTCCTAGCATTTCATCTGGTAGAACTAGAAGGAGCTATAGGAGGCTATATGCTAGGACTACTAAGTACAAAACTCCACAATACCATATCTGGCACAGCTGTTATGTGATGAGAAATCCGTTAGGTATGACATGATCAACTTACTGCGGCACTCTAACAAGTAGTTTCATTAGTTTTTGTTTTCCTTTCCTCGTTACTATTACACTGTTGCTCTCACTTTCTTATACACACCAATTTTATATTTCATATCCTGTGGTGCATTGTTTAAAATGTAAATGCAACACTGTTGTTTCTACTTTTTTATTTATCTTTCTTTTTGGCGTTGTTTTTTGATTTTAAAATCTTATAAAATTTATGAGGTAATTAGATGCAATATATTGTAATGCACGCTGAAAATTCCATACCTGTACCACAAATACTGTTTGGAATAAAGCTGTTATTATTATTAGTTGAGGACACTTCATTTGTATGCAGTAACCACCACCTCAGGAGTCGAGCCTTGGGTCTTTAGGCATAGAGTTAGTGATTTCATGGTAGAATGTGAATGGCAGCATGAAGATTAGCTAAGAATAAACTTATGCTGGATGATAATTTCAGACAGATCCAGCTAGGCAGTATTCACAAATCAGATCAAACAACCGAAATTCCATGATACTGAGGTGAAAAATATTAATAGTGAATAATTCACTAACTAACCTTCCAATATTCCTTATGTTCATTCGATTGACCAAGAAATCCAACATATTTTCTCGCCAATAACCAATATTTATCATTCAAATGTATGCGGCGCATTCTCAGCGGTTTCCATTGGTTAAAACTTATTATTGATCGTCTACGAGTAATAATATCAAATGCTATTGGTTGACAATTCACTTGAAGGTCAATCTTGTGCAAACCTTCAATGCTCAAGGTTAATTTATACCATTGATTAGGATTCAATTCAATTGGATGACTTTTATACCTTGTTGTAAATTTATGTTGACTGATCATTGTAGCTTGAATAAATTTGTGAGAATTTCGATTTTGAATAGATAGCTTGAATAAGATTCTGTGTTCAATTGAAGTGGAGAAAAATTTTGTAATAATTTAAAATATTATTGAATAATTATTTATGGCAATTTGTTTAGTCTAAATTATGTAAGAACAATGCTGAAATACATTTATTCCTGATAAGTTCATCTTTAAGTTCTGATTTTTTATAATTTTATTACAGGGTGTTTGCTATCCATTGAATTACTGATGAAAAATAATAATAAGAGTGAGTGGTGAATTGAGACAATGCAATACAAGTTGAAGTCAGTAGATCACAAGTGATTCGCATATTTTGATTTGGTTACAGGATTTCATCATGAGCTGACATTGGTTGGAGAACCATTGGAAAACCTGGGAGTACCGGACATCTGTTTCGTCCTAGTTTGAGACTCTTCAGCAGTACGCATTCACCACCACGATTCGAACCCAGGACCCTCTGGTTACAAGGCTAGCGAGCTTGTGCACCATTAGGCCACTGGGACTCGATCCAATTGCCCATGAATTCCAACTTCTGCCAATTCACGACATAGCGCAACCGGTAGCCAATGTTTTCGGCGAGTATTTGTCTTCACAACCGACCCGCTGCACCCTACTGGTCACGACCACCCACTGGAACCCCAGGTAACTACCTACCTGAATAGGGCCAGTCGCCAGTGAGCACCTCATTGCTATTCAAGTATTGGTTTGTAGGGATTTGGTTGACTGGACGAAACAGCTGTCTAGTACTCCTAGGTTTTCCAATGGTTCACTAACCAATATCAGCTCATGATGAAATCCTGTAACCAATCAACCAAATCCCTACAAACCAATACTTGAATGATTTGATTTGGTTAAGAAATGGGCATTCATTCCCTTTTATATTACTGAATTTCATGAAATGAAATTAAACATGACAGATAGTGAGATTTTTGAAACAGTCTTGGCTTGTTACTATTATTATTGTTCCTTACGGTTCCGAGTGGAACATACGGCTTCAACAACACATCTCCACTTTGTTCTGTTCTCTATCGTCATCTTCAGCTGGATCCACGCTACCCCATAACCTCTCATCTTCTCTTTGAACTTACAAGATCTCCTACATATCACCTTCGAAGTGATGACCTACTCGTCACTTCCCACTAGGAACCAAACTCAAGGGCTTGGGACGCGATGTCATTCAACAGCCTCCTAAGTATTTTCCCGATCAGTCCATCTTCATTTTATCCTGCATATTTGTTGAGCGATCAACTCTGTTGCCAGTCAGAGTTTCTTGTTACTCATTCTTTCTGGCCACTTGATCGACACTATGAAGTCAGCGAAGGCGGCAGCTGTTGGCGAAGGTCTGCAACCTGTTACAGATGCTTTTCGTAACATGCTGCCCATATTTCTGACTCATATAGAAGGACCGACTTGACATTTTTGTTTAAAATCCTAATTTCCTTCCTTATTCTGAGTGCAGGACATTTCCAAACTAATATCAGGTTTATGAAGGCGTACTGCCTTGCCTTTCCGATTCTGGGTGGCTAGCTTTGCCATCTTCATTCGTTTCTACTGCCTTTGGTTGAAACAGTGCTTCCCAGCTAGGTAAGTTAATGGTGATTGGTGCTGGTTGTTGTTGTTGTTGTTGCTGTTGGTTGCTTGGTTGTTAGTCATCATTCATCATCTTCATCTCTACATCATCTATGTTCAACAGGATTCCTGTCTTCCCTGCCTGCTAGTCTCTTCAGCCAGTTTGTTGGTTTTCGCCTGCCTGCCTGTAGGTCCTCGAGTTTGTGTGACACTAGACATATATCATCTGCAAAATCCAGATCTTCCAGCAGATTTTTATTGTAATATTAGGCGATGACTGAAGGTCAGAAAACCAGTTGAGCTACGAAACCTGGTTGACAGTTGGGTCACGTCGCTTGGCACCACACTAGTTAAACGTTATTCTAGATTATAACTTTTCTAAGCTTTGAGAAAGCAAGACACTTACACATAAAGCGTCAGGCTTCTGGTGACACATCGATTTCACTGAATAAACGTCTTAATTTCATTTATTTTTTATTTTCATTATAACTTGATTCCACACCGTATTTTTGGGTATAAGTATGAAATTTTCAGCATGTAATATCGGTAGCCCAAATTTTAAAGGTCAACCACTGTTAACAGGTGTGCGTCAGCAGGTAGCCGAACCCTGGATCATGTGCATAGTCGGAGCGAATCCTAACCTCTGTGCCATCGACGCACAGATCAGAGACATTGGGTCCACATTTTACTATTTATGACGCAGTAAAGAATTTCATGGTGTAGACATATTCATGGAACAAAATCTGTTAGAGAATCATTAAAAACCAATGAGAATTGGGGGGGGCATACCCTTGTGGTTTCTTAATTTTCAGAAGTGTATCCAGTTTACTCTGACACGGTGGACTGTAATGACCACGACTTCTTAATACAGCTTCAGTACTTACATCTTGTAGCTACCAGTGAACTTGGGACTGATATTCCAATTGTAAGTTTTGTGGAGATTTGCACTGATTTCAGTTTGGATTCCGTTGCGAATCAACTTTATTTAGTATTAGGTGGTTGGGGGAAATCGGCAGGAAGCATCACCTGCCCTAAGTCTTGTGTTAATTGTCACTCACCAGTCAGCAAGGCGTATCTGCAGCATCAAAGGAATTCATGTCCCTTCTGAGACTTGAACTCGCGTCACCCATTGAGCGCTGCAGTCAGAGACGTTGCCACTGAGACTACTAGTAGAAACCAGTTACTCAGATGGAATTAGAATTTGTAAGTCCGATCTACTGACTAAAAGGTCATTGAGTTAATCTCATGACCTGAAGGTGATAAATTAGATTCATGACGATGTCATGAGTGTGTACTGATGAAGAGTAGCAAACTAGGACGACTAAATGGTCTAGTACTACTTGATTCACTGTAGCTCTTTAACTGATGTCAATTTGTGAAGAAACCTACTGTGGAAATATGTGAAAGAAATTGATTTTTTCACAGAAAAGAGCTTCTAACATATTCATCTATAAATATGTTCTAATTCTAGTGCAGATTTCGCTTCCTTAGTTTGCCCATCTCACTAATAGTAAATAATGTGGGAATATCTCTCCTGTGAAATTAGTGCAGGAACTTCCGAGGAATATTTCCGCCTGATTTCAGCAAACAGATGATAGACAGAGATATATCTGCGCATTTCAATGAATACCTGCCTTTTTTGTGAACAGGTTTGTTCTCGTATGATGATTTGGTTTGTAAATTTGATGAAAAATTCACTTCCTTTGGAAGACCATTGCAAACTAGGGGGTAATGGATATGCGTTTCATCCTAAATTAAGATGCTTCAAAGGTGAGTGTTCATGATTCCATCAGGAACTAATTGAAGTAAATACTTCATCAACCTTGAAACCAATCAAATCCCTGTGAATCAGCGCTTGTCTAGCAAGTGTTTTGCGGCTTTACTCCCACTAGTGGATGATAAAGTGTTCATGAAATACACATATTCTGACATCGTACTACGGTTTCCACTCATTTCTACTTTTTCTCATTCAATGGACAACCGTGATTTATTTCACCTCGAATTATGTAAGTTGAGAATAACAATTCTGAAACGAGGAATTGCGAGTTCTCCTAAGTAGTGATCGAGGATTAAACTGATCTCTACTGGGTGAAGTTCAATAGTACTGTCTCAGGAGTGCGAACGCTCCAATGACCTTGAACGCATGTTAGTCGTTGGCTAATAGCACCTATCATTATCATAGCTAAAATATCAGCGCTATTCGACAAATTGGTCGAAGATGCAGCAAAGACAGGACTCCAGGTGAACCTAGACAAGACGGAGGTTTTGAAAATAACCAACTAACAACAACAACAGCGACATCCAGAGCCAATCGCCATCAACGAAAGGGATTTGAAAGAGGTTACTTCATTTACTTATCTAGCATTGAGCATTGTCTCAACTACAGGAAGTCGGAACGGACGATGATGTCAAATCGAGTGAGAATCGGGAAGGCAAGAAACACATTCACTCATCAACCTGAAACCAATCTTGAAATATTCGTCACTCAGCCAGCATCAACAACAAAATTCTGTCGGATTTTCAATACAAACACGTCAAGTCAATCAGTTCTTCTATACGGATCAGAAACTTGGCAGGCGGGTCACAAAGATTATTTCCAACAGCCTGTTGCAGACCTTTATCAACAACTGTCTTCGCTGGATCTATACTGAAGATCAGATGGCCGGGCAGAAAGAATCACGGACAAGAAACAATGGGAACAAACAAAACAAGAGCCAGTTGCTCGTCAAACAAATATGCAGGAGAAAGTGGAGATGGATTGGACACTCACTCGCTGAGGAGGCCGCTGGGTGACTCTGCGCGCGCGTCAGGCCATTGCTCAAGTGGAACCAGGCCGAAATGGAAGCGGCGAGTTGGTCGTCAGTGCAAGGGTGACATGGAGGAGATCGTGTGAAGAGGAGTTGAAACAGTATGGACTAACTAACATGGATGCAGGTGAAAAGTACAGCAGAAGATAGCAGTAAGTAAAGACGTGCAGCTGAAGCCCTATGTTCCACTAGGAACCCAAGGGAACAATAATAATAATAAATTCAATAACTAAGGAGCAAATTTCCCCCAGATCCTATTTTTATGTACCATATGGACTATGTGTTAATAGCTTTCTAGGCTTAGGATAAGAGTTAAGATAAGTATTAGGGTCAAGGTTAGGATCAGGGTTATAATTAGCATTAGGGTTCAAATTACGATTTGGATAAGGGTTATAATGATGGTTAGGATTAAGGTTAGGGTTACGATTAGGGATAGATGTATAGTTGACGTCATTTATTTTGATTTGTTTTATAATCCACATTTTCCTGGTAAGTAGTTGTTGATCTTTTCACAGGAAGCCGTAGTAATTCGACAGAGAGCTTTGAGGAAGAATGCACAACAGGATAAGAGAAATAAACGACTCACAAGAACAGCTGATCTTCAATCATCTCGGTGAATACTCATGTACAAACACCAGTCTAACTTAGCAACTTATGCTCCTCACTACAACTGGGACGTAATTTTAAGTCATGGCAGAGAAAGATGACCTGTTTAATAATGTGTCTCCATGCATTTTCTTATAATTATACATCATTTTTTGTGCAAAAGTCAATTATTTTTATGATTGGTCGGCTGAAGGTCACCCGTGCTTTTGCATCCCTTGGGGTGTTATTATTGAACTTTGCCCTCAACTGATCTAGTTGCTTGAGCAGAGTTAAACTAGATACACCACTGCTGACCTTGATCTCAAACAGGCAAAACAGCCATGCAGTATTTCAGATCCCTTCCATCTGTCTAACATACTGGTGATATCCAACTACTCATATCGGTTTGTCAGTAGTATATGCTGTCGTGCACATATTCGAGTGCCTGAAAGCTTTTAAGTTTAGAAAACAACAACAAAACAAAATGAAACGATTAAAAACTGCATGTATTACTTACAGCTTTGAGGGTTTCTCAGTAATTGATATGAGTGTTTGACGACCTGTCGTATCATTAGCTGCATTTATCATTATAAATTCAATTGAGAAGAATATTGTTCTAGATGTAAGTAACACATTTACGATGTTCAAGATGTCATATTTTGTGAATTGTATACTTCTTGGCTCAGAATGACCTAAAACGTAAGATGAAGACTACAGTGTAGGAGTCAAAATATATTCAATATTCCGAAGGTAAGTCATTCAGTCAGCCAATATCAACATATATTATATTATATTATTTCCTTTAATTCCTAGAGGAACATAGAGCTTCAGCCACACGTCTTTATTGTGTTCGGTACTCTGCCTGCGTTTTCACCTGTTTCCACGTCTGCCCACATGGTTTTATCTCCTCTCCGTATCACCTCATCCATGCCAGCCTCACACTGACGACCAACTCGCCGCTTCTCATTCGGGTTTCACTTGAACAATGGCCTGTCTTCTGGTGTCCCTTGATGGTTTCCTGATATGTATCCACATATATATATGTATTTGTGTGTGTGTATGTTGGTCTCTCTTTCTGTTTGCTCACTTAGTCTGTGACCATTTCACTTGTGTGAACTTGTCTCCTTTATTAATGTGTATTCTCCTTATATTATATTATATATAATATGAGTGTTTGTTGACAGTCCGTCGCTTAGTGACATATATCCATATATGGTTGTTGACATGTCTGCTATATTCGCTATGTATATTTGGATCGACACTCCATTATAATTAGCCATTCATGTTAAGAATGTCTAATGATTTGTTCCCACGCTTTGTCTGGAACATTCATATATATTTCGCATACACAATTTGTGTGAACTACTCTACTTTACTTACTTACCACTTTGGTGTGAGACTTTTTATTTTCGTCTCCTTGTGTTTGGACAATAGAAGTATCATCGCAAACCTAGTGGTCTTCTGATTTCCGCCTTCTCGCGTCAGGACTATTAGTTTCTCGACCAGTCCATAACAATAATTTAGCGACGAGTACATAACATTTCCTCAGAGTATGACCACAGTCCAATCCACCTTCATTTCTTCCTGCATATTTCTTACACAATCCGTTCCTTCTGGGTTGGGTTGGTTCGTTTATTGTCAGAGATCCCTGTTGCTGATCTTTTCTGGTTGGCCATCTGATCTTGAGTGGTATTGAGCGAAGACAGCTGTTGATGAAGGTCTATAGTTTGTTCGAAGTGCCTTTTGTGACGCGGTGTCAAGTCTGTTATCCGTATATTGAGTAGCATTGATGTCTCATTGCAGTTGAAAATCCGGATCTTATTTTTCACGTTGAGTGCTAAGTGTTGATGTCCACACAGACCTGAGAGTAGTGAAAGCTTGCGTTGCTTTCCCGATCCTCGCTGCTTTGATATTCTCATCAATTCCATCCGCCTGTAGTTGAAACGATTCTTCCCAGGTAGGTAGGTTGGTGAAAGAGGTTGCTTCTTTCAGATTTATCCCATTTATGCTGGCTGACTGTTGTCTGTTGTTTTTGTTCTTCCTCGCGGCCAGGAATCTTCATCACTCCTGTTTTCTCTATATTCGCCTGAGGAAAGTCCTATCTTCGATGCTTCTTCTATCGCTAACTTGTTGCTGTTTACCTGCATATCTTCCATTTTGTGTGAAATCAGACATATATGTCGTTGGCGAAGTCCAGAGTCTCCAAGTTTTTGTGTGGGTCAACTTAATGCCCGTTTCCTCGCTTCCCGCTGTGTGTCTGACGCATTATCCAGTCTACCACCTGTAATCAAGAAGGACATTGGAGATAGTAGGCTGCTAGCTTATATGACTCCTGTCTTCACTTCGAAGGATTCTGTTAGTTCCCCATTGGACACTATTATTATAATTACTATTATTGTTAATATCAGAAATACACGAAGACTAATGTGCACCTGCCATCGGAAAACATAAACTTTACGAATATGATTAACAGGAGAACACCTAATTTGACGGCTAATGTGACAAGCCACATGATTCATACGACAGTTTGATACCCTTACCCCCTGATAAATGTTGTGAACCGCAATTAGTTGTGCTCTGTAAGCTGGTTGGTTTAAGTGTGGAGCTTTCGTCCTCCCTCATCTAGATAACATCTTCCTTCAGTGCAAATTTTAGCATAAAATGAACTGATTTTGAATTCTCCATGGATTATAGAACTGTGTCTCTTGGCAACCACCTTCGCGACTGATTGAATTCGAACTTTCTTATCATGTAATTTACTTTTTATTAGTTGGTAAACTTGGTCTATATATATTAACATGTCTGTTAATCGCTTGCTGATTCAAATGAGTACCAGGCATCTTGGAATTTGAACAATGCAAGAACTACAGTTTTAGCAGAATAAAATGGTACCATCTTTTATTTCGTTGCCTTCTCGTCAGCTGCTCTCAGGCCAAAGACATTATTAAATATATCTACAACAACAATATATCTACAATGGTTCTCTAACTAATGTCAGCTCATGATGAAATCCTGAAACCAATCAAATCCCTACAAACCAACACTTGAATTTTAACATACTTGCACAGAGTTCAGTTTAAACAAAAATCAATCGATCAATATACTCATACACTAAAAATATATACATATATAAATATGCAATATTAACCACTATTCCGAACAATAATAATCAAACACAATGGAAACTTTTAGCATTTCACATTCGGAGGAAAGAGAGGTGAAATTATCCAGTTACCAGGGCAAAGAAAGGCTGATAACCGCTTCTTTCTGGACGCATAAATCAGGTTTCATGCGCTTGATGGAAATGGCTTCAGCAAACTTAAGGAGAATTGAGCTATTTTGCTTATTGATAATTTTGAACGACTTTTCAACGTCCACCTCATGACCCGTGTCAAGGAGATGCCTGGTGATGGCACTGTTTAAAGCATTTGTTCCCTTTAGACGTAAGCTTTTTGGTACATGTTCAGAAAATCGTAGATATGCCCTTCTTTCTGTCCTTCCAATGTAACTGCTCCCGCAGATACATGTAAATTTGTATACACAGTTGGAGGTAACATGAGAAGGATATCTATCGATTTTTGATTGCACCAAAGAGCAAGTTGTTCGATAGACGGGAACGAGCTTAGCTGCAGGATACGCTATGGCTAGTGATGTACTCAGCCTTCTGTTGATCATCGCTGCAATATTTTCACCTTTATAATCAAGCTGAAGGTAGACTGGCTTTTTTTCCACTGTGATTTGTTTTACATTTGTGACTTCAGATCTTCCATACTTGTTGATGAACCTTTGAGGATACCCATTTCTCTTCAATATATTTTCAAGGAACTCAAACTCCTCCTCTAGTTTCTCTGTAGAGCATATTCTCCTCGCTCTATAGTACAAAGTTTTGACTAGACCACGTTTAAAGCTATGTGGACAAAAGCTATTAAAATGCAAGTATTGTCCTTTCCATGTGGGCTTTCGATAAATTGACTTTTGAAGACTACCGTCTTCTAGGCGTTCCATGGCTATGTCGAGGAAGTGAAACTTTCCGTCACTTTCGTGTTCCATAGTGAAGTCAATATTGGCGTGTGCACCATTGAATAATCTTAGTAAGTGTGAAGCATGACTTTTATTTTTGCACACTATAAATGTGTCATCAACATAACGACAGTAGGAAGATGTTTCGTCGATTGCATGCTTCAGCTTTGTTCTTTCAAGGTTAGACATGAATATATCTGCTAAAACAGGGCTAAGTGGACTGCCCATAGCTACACCATCTATTTGGCGGTAAAACGTGTTGTCAAATAGGAATTGCACATCCATGGTGCACATAAGCAGTAGGAGTTTGAATTCAGGCTCTGGGAGTGGGAGAAGATCGGACTGCACTTATGATGTTTGCTCTGTTAAAAAAATTTCCACATTGTGATTTGAAAAAATATATATCATATTGAAGATGTTGTTCAGAAGCAAGACGAAAGCTTCGCAATAAAGCCAACCAGCTCAGGGAGTACAACAAACTGCAAATTTGAATAAAGCAAGAACTACAGTTTTAGCAGAATAAAATGGTACCATGATTTATTTCGTTGCCTTCTCGTCTGCTGCTTATAGGCCAAAGATATTAATAAATATATCTACAACAACAATTTTAACATACTTGCACAGAGTTCATTTTAAACAAATATCAATCGATCAGTATATACATACACTAATAATATATATATATACGTAATATTAAAAACTATTCCGAACAATAATAATCATACAACTCGCCCTAACATAACAATGTACGTTAGCTTGCGGAGAAGTTGGAACCTATTCATCAATGGCTAGGCGTGCACACTATGAAAGACTCATTTCATTTCTCTCAAAGCGTGAAGAACCACATGAACGTTTTAAATAAGTTCATGGTGTCATTTGATGCAACCTCCTTGTTCACAATGATTCCAATCAACGAAACTATTGAGATCATTTGCCGACAGTCTGATCTTTTCCTGCTTTTAGAGTCGGAATTCAAACGCCCACTGTTTATGTGTACCATGGATGTGCAATTCGAATTTGACCGCACTCTTTACCGCCAAATAGATGGTGTAGCTATGGGCAGTCCACTTAGCCCTGTTTTAGCAGATATATTCATGTTCAACCTTGAAAGAACAAAGTTGAAGCATGCAATCGATGAAACAACTTCTTTCTGTCGATATGTTGATGACACTGAAAGTGATGCTTCCCACTTACTTAGATTATGCAGTGACGCACATACCAATATTAAATTGACTATAGAACATGAAAATGATGGAAAGTTTCACTTCCTCGACATTGCCATTCAACACCTAGAAGACGGTTGTCTTCAGAAGTCAATTTACCGAAAGCCTACTTGAAAAGGACAATACCTACATTTTTAATAGTTTTTGTTTAAATAGCCAGCTAGCTATAAACGAGCACTAATCGAGGCTCTATACTGTAGAGCTAATAGAATATGCTCTGCAAAGAAATTAGAGGAAGAATTTATATTTTTTGAAAAGATGTTGAAAAGCAAAGATTCATCAACAAGTACGGAAGATGGGAAGTCTCAAATGTCAAACAAATCACAGTGGAGACAAAGCCCATCTGCATTCAACTTGATTTTAAGGGTAAAAATATTACAGCAATGGTTAACAGAAAACTGAGTACGTCACTAGACAGAGCCTATCCAGCAGGGAAGATCGTTCCCGTC